TTATTTAACAAAGCTTCTACGCTAGAAATTTGGATAAAATTTAATGCACCTTAGGTATAAATAATCATAATTCCTGTATATTAGTTTACACAACCTGCTATCGGCAGAAGCAACTTTAAACAAAAAGGGGATCCACTGGTTTAAAGCTGTGTTTTCTTTAACGATAGGGAAATCGCACCTACATAGTATAATCATTATTAACAAGGCACAAGAAAATGAATGCATTGATGCAAAGCCAATTTTAAAATATCACATATATATTCACTTATAGCGGTATATTTCTAGCTGTTATATACTGCACAGCAGGAAAAAAATTAAATTTGTTTGCATTCCCGTTCAACCAGTTTGTCCTTGTTTTTGGATATTTTGGAAATCTGAAAAATAATTTCAAAATCTGAACAAGGGATAGAAATACGCACAACATTTACATTAAAGACGAGTTGTTTCCAAGTCTGTTTCTTTAGCTTGAACTCCCCTATTTTTAACATATGGTTGCCCCTCTTGTTTGCCCCTTGTAAAACATAGTCTGTCACACCGTTTTGTTTTACAACAGAACTTTCTCAATTCGTCGCTGAAGGTCCTATTGTAATAGCCAAATATAAGAGGATTTAGGACTGAACTGGCGAAAGTCAACGTGTCAAATATTCCGTTTAGTAAAAAATAAAGTTCAGTGGTATAAATGTCATGAAAAAGCTGAATCCATGAGTTCGTACCGACCGCTTGGGTATCCTCCGTTTCTTCAACAAGTATTGATTCCTCGAATATTTTAAAAGCGTCTATCGTTTGCAAAATTAACTGAGGGCCCCATGTAATCAAATAGGCAAAGACAACAAGCAACATCATTTTTACAACTCGAAATTTAGCCCTTGCAACTTGGGAGTTGATTAATTTGCTGCGAGTACGGCTCCATAGAAAGTGTAGAATTTTACCGTACGCAAAGCCCATGAAAACCAAAGGAATTACAAAAGAACAGCAAAGATAAACTGTTAATGAAATGGGAAAAGCCAAGCCGAAGACATGATCACAGGTCAAAAACTCTTCTTCTTGATCTACGTCTACGACCGTCACACTTTCTGAGCTGTACAAAAATGGCGCCGAACATGCCGCTCCGTAAATCCATGAGAACACCACCACATTTCGGCTGTGCCTCCAGGTTATACTCTTCGCTTTGAACGGATGAACAATATGCATGTAACGGTCAAAAGCGATTCCAGCGAGAAGGCAAAACGTGACCGCTAAAGTCGCGTATTTCCCAAATTCCACAACCTTGCATCTCAAATCGCTGACAGCTAAAGGCGTCTGAATAAAACGATCGGGATTAGAGACAGTCCGAAAAATGAGATCTGCGACTGCTAAATTCAACAAATGAAAGTTGGAGAAGCTTTTGAAGCACTTTTTCGTCCGAATAAGTATCCAGCAAACGAGAACATTTTCAACGAATCCACAGATGATTAAAATGCCGCATATAACAAAAAGAGCCATGTGTACTAAGTTTAATACCTTGATTTCGGGAAATAAATCATCTTCTATTCCCTTTTGAAAGTAATTGCTGAAATTTTCTTTTTCTGTGTAATTCCAATCCATAATCTTCTTTCAGGCAAGGCAATATCTCCGATAATGAAACCATATACTTCCTATCCTCCTGTTTTTGAAGTAAAACTCTGATATTTTCTCTGTATTGCAACAGCGTTCCCTAACCAAACAAATATGTTCATATCTACCTCTTCTCGAGTGTTATGTTTGGATTATTTTCCATCTGTAGTCGATGTTGGACCTGCGTTAAGCCAATCAATACCATGGTATTTCTTTGTTACATTACAACAATGTCAATATCATTGATTAGGTTTGCAACTGAGTGTGACGAATAGACGCAAAGGAAACATGATAAATAGAGCGAAATGTACTAAAACGAGCAGTCGACCTTTTTTTCTTTCTTATTTTTGGCAAGGTTGCTTTAATCACTTCCTCTCTTGAATATTTCAATTTCCTTTTTGTTATAATTAAGTGTTCTATCGCAGTTCTAAGTGTTTTTTTATTACCTTCCGGCATTTTAAATAGCATTCTTTCCAGTAAATGTGTTAATTTTTACATATGACAGGTAGAGATGTCACTAACTGATTAGGATTCATTAGCTATGGCTTATCAACCGCAAAATTAAAGCCTAGTAACATGTCAAGAGCCCACAACGAAGTGATAGGCAAACCTATGTAAGTGTCGGTTTAACTGCTTTTGAGTCTTGGCTATCCAGCGTATTAACACCCAATATAATAAATCCAAATAATCCGATTTTTTTGCCCTAAATTTGGGCCCGTTTCGGTGAGGAGAAAACCGTCAGTATCTCACCTTAAGTCAAAATTATGACCGTCTCAATTAGGGCCGGAGTAGGTTTGTAGACCCACCGGCTGAAACTCAAGAGTGGAATTAAATCGCAGTTTGAAAGGCCTTTTTTAGCTTGTTGTTTTTTTGCTCCTCAAAATGCTGAATCGCACTTTGAGTGTGCGGGACAGATCTTATGAGTTGCATAGCTAGGACAAATTGATGTATTTTCTCAGCCATAATTTATATAAGTCATGAAACTGAATTTTGTAGCAGCAATGCGAATTTACGAAACCTAGAATTTGTAACTGTTTAAGTCAATAAAAAAGGCAAAACAGCTGTTCGGGTCATATAATTATATATTTGCCATCTTGTAAATACTCGTATGAAAAAGTGCTCTGCCCGGATATGGATTCTGGCAGATAATAATAACAAGAATTCCAAAAAAGTTATTTCGGTTAAAAAAAAATCGTTTTTCATTTCTATTTTAATAAATCACTTAGAGTAACGTTAACGTCGAATGAACTTTTGTGACTGATTTGTAAAAATATAAAATACTGTTTCAAAATGTATATCAGCCAATCTGTTAGGAAAATCGTCTTGTCACATTTTCACTCTTTCATTCTCTAGTAACATTTTTGTTTACAGTCAAACACGTACTCATACACGGCACGCAATGCGGCGGATATTTGAAATGATTTTACTATAAAATGCCCAGTTGCAGGGTTAGTTCGCTTAAGTCTCAAGTCTAATTGCTAGTGATTTTCAACGTTTTTTTAAAACAAATAGTTACTGTCCAACGGTATCAAAGTACAGACTTTGACGGAAATTTTTTTTAACTCTGCTAAAACTTAGGATTCTAATATAAGAATTCTTTTGTATGACGCGTAAATGTCTTTTAGTTAACTAATGACTTTACTTAGAGCGATTTTTTTGTTTGACTTTGGATGATGACGCAAGAACAAAACTAAACAACAAAGAGAAAAAAACTTGCGATTACAACTTGAAAGAAGATGGCCTAACTTTTTTGAAATTTCAGTCCATGTTCATCCTTGCTATCCGTAGCAACGGAAGACAGAAACAGTTTCAGTGCCTTTAAAATATAGAATTAAGCTACAAAACTCGACCATTATTTTTAAAAATGAACTGATGCGAAGACCCGTTTTATAGCCTTTTAAGAAGATAGCAAAGAACGTGACGTTAAGCCTCTTTAACACGATCATGAAACCTTGGGAACGACAGTGTATTGAATGACTCGAAGTATAAAACGGTTTCTGGCTGATCGAACGTCACAAAGACAGTGTTAGTATTTACCAAATCAGTGAATAGCAATTTTCGCGCGTTTTGATTAGCTCCCGTAACTCGAAATATCCTTGGCTAGTCCTTGTTTTGCGACCGGAGCCAAGATGGCGTCTCGTTTCAAGACATTTTCGGAAGACGGAATTTGAGCGATACATCATGAAGCAGTCGTACAAAGAAATACCAGAAAAGCGACGAACTTTGGCTTGTCGGTGTATACTGGTAGGAAGAAAATTATTTTCATGCTGAATTTGCAACAAAAGTTGACAAAATCCCCGAAATGTTTGTAAATTGTACAAAAGTTCATAATAATTGACGTTTTTAATTTACAAAAAGTTGTTTTCTTCATATTTATCCAAATGATGTGGTAAACACTAAAACAACTATCCCCGTTAGGGTCGGTGAACAGCGCTCGATATTTACCTTGACGCTTCACGTCTTCGGTATAAACCTACCACTATTCACCTCCCCTTCGGGGGATAGTTGTATCTTATTCCGAGACAGCTTCCGTGGAAGCGTCGAAAAAAAAAAAAAACTATTGAAATTTGTTTACCCACTAGGAATTTAAGGAGTTCTTCAGGAAACGTTTAAATGTGTCCGTGCGTTCTAGATCGAGTTGGAATTTGGAAATGTTGATTTTTTAGGACGGGAAAAAAGCCTCTCGAAGTAAAGGAACGAACCACTGAAAAACTCAACTCACACATGACGTCGACGCCGGGATTCTCTTGAAACCGGCCCACATTGGTAGGAGGCGAGTGCTCTGCGGCCACTGTGCTAGCCTGCGATCATGCCCTCTCCCTTTATCTTTGTAATCTGTTTTCTTTTTTTTCTTTCCCTCTCGAGCCAAAGAAGCAAAGAAGCAAAAATAAATAAATAAATAAAATAACGCCTGATCTCAGGTTACTGTGCCTGCTCCCCAAGGTTTCGAAGGGGAAATAAACAAAAGAAAAACGGAAGGGTGGTTGAGGAGAGGGGGGAAGGGCTTTTTTCTCCCCCGGCCCTTTCCTCCCCTCCTCTTTTTGCTCCCGGCACACAGCCTGTTAAATTGAAGTACTGTATTTGTTTGCTTTGTCATCTCATTGACAGCATTGTTGTATATTAAAATTCTATCTTCCTTTTATCTCCATTTCCCATTTTAGGTAAGGTACGTTTTTATTAGCGGAAAAGATTGATTAATTACACTGGCCTTGTCATCATTACGCAAATGACTGCTAAAACAAACGCTAAAAAGTAAAGAACATTTAATGACAGTTTTATTCTCATAAATATAAACATTGGTTCAGCTTTACGTTCGTTAATTACAACTTTGTGGTAATTACTTCCAAATCCTCTGTCATTTTGGTTGTGTCATTGGGAAAATAAACTTTTGGAGAAAATTCGCTTCTGTCCTCTAAATTACAAACGTCTAAAGATCTCATCGTTTCATTCTCAAAAAAGATAGTTTGGGGCTCGGGTTGTCCTGTTTTCTTACGACTTTTGGTCTTCGCATCACCTGTTTTAAAGCATTGTGAACAATTTATTCTGCAACAACAACTTTTCAGTTCCTCCCTGAAAGACTTGTTATAATAACCAAAGATGACAGAATTTAACACGGAACTTGTATAGGTTAACAGTTCCATGCTATCGTCAATAATAAGTAGCTTTATGTAGTTCTTCTCTTCTCTAATTTTGTCTTCCAGAGGTATTTCTTCACTTTCCCAGTCAATCATGTACTCTAGAGAAACTATCTCGAACGCTTGCAAAAAATCCCAAACTAGCTTCGGCCCCCAACTTATCGAATATGCAATCACCACACCCACCATCATTTTCACCGCGCGAAATTTAGCGTTTGCAATTTGTGAGTTGACACAGACGTTTTTTCGCGCTCGTTGCCAGAGAACTTTTAAAATCTTGGCGTAGGCAACTGTCATCAAAGCTAAAGGAAGTAAAAAGGCAAAGGACAGAAATACACTTGATGAAATCTGAAAAGGCAATCCAACGCCCCACAGACAGACCTCGTAATCTGTTTCCTTCCAGTCGACTGTTGAGTATTCCATACTGAAGAGAATTGGTGACGAACAAGCAGCTCCGTATAACCAGGAGAAAAATACAGCTTTTCGGCTGTGCTTCCATGTTATGTTTCTGGCTTTGATCGGATGTACAATATGAAAATAGCGATCTAAAGTTATTCCCAACAGCAGGACAAAGGTGACAGCCAGGGTAGTGTAACTTCCAAATCCTCCAAGTTTGCACAAAGCATTGCTACCGTCTCTTACCTCTTTATTTTCAATAGCGAATAAAACCGGTGTAAGAGCCAGTCTAAAGACCACATCCGTCATAGCTAAGTTGAAAAGGTGAAAATTTGAGAAGTTTTTCAGTAGGCGTTTCTTGCGGAGCAGAATACCGCAAATTGTGATGTCCGCGATGATTCCGATCACGGCTACAGCGAATTGCAAAACATACACGACGTTTGTGAATTCCGAATATCTCTTGTATTCTTCGGCGAAATATTGTTCAAAATAGAAGTCACTGTTGGTTGTATTTGTGGACTGTTCGTACACACTTTTAATCATTTTGATCAAGCGATTAATCAGAAACTATTGATCATCTTCAAACTTGAAGTCCACTCGATGTCAGTTCGTCACCTTAAAGCAAAACCATCTTTACGGGACAATGACTGCATCAATCGTTATAGCGACCCTCCAATGAATATAATAATTTAACTGCCTGCAGGTGGTTTATTAAAACAAATCGCCAAAAAGAACGTACTTATGGTAACACAAACAACAAGAAAACACTCTGGCTCATAAAAAATACAGCATAAATATTGACAATAAAAAGACTTAATTTTAGAAAATTTACAGACTTTAAAGATTTTTAGGCGCAAAAAGCAACAAGGATGGATGATTAACTGTAGTGAGAATGTTTATCACTGAGAATTCAAAGTTTTTGTTACAAGCTTGTTACACCAAATCGCTTAATTATTTTCTCTTAAATAACAAAATTGTTTAATGAACCTACAATAGGTGGTCAGTAATGTTTATCTCAAGAAACAGCTTGAATGTGCTTGCTTACTATAACTCTAAAACAAAACTAATACGACGTTTTGAAGTATTTTTTAAGACACACTGTTATTGGAAAGTCTCGCTTTCATAACCCTCAGTTATATTGGAGTAACTCAAAAGGCAAAAATGCTAATTGAGGTTAGTTTCTAACGTTTATATATATATATGCACAGCTTCGTAGAATTCGACTACAAATATTATTCTCTCTAATCAACACCTTCCATTATGAGAAAATTTTAGAAACAGTTTACTTTAGTGTTATATTAATAACCAAGACGCAATTTTTTTAGTTTTGTTTTAACTACAAGTGAAGGCCGGGGAACCGTATTGTTAACAGGTCACGTTGTTCCTGGACACCACACGATAACGGGCAATTAAGGTCGTGATTGAAGTACACCAAGTACCAAGATCACATAAAGGAAAATTATACATTTATATTTTTTCACCTAGTGTTTACTAGATTTTCACACAAAAACAAGTTACTGCGAGTCTTTTTTGGGGGCAGCTGTCGAATTCTCATGACACCTCTAATTAATGAGAGAAAACTGGAAACCTGTCAAGGAGCCTGAATGTTTCTCTGAAGTAATGTCTCAAACCACGTGAAAGAATAAAAAAATAATAATAATCCTTTATTTACCCTCTGCAGTATTTATAGCACTAATGCCAGTGGGGCCGAGCAAATGCCTGGAACAAATAATTTAAATCAAACTAGAGATAAGCACCGTTATTTATTCAGGGAAATCCCGTCAGAGTCAAGGGAGCTCCATGACTGTAACAATCTCTTTTTCTTCAATCGTTTTTCTCCACCCCCTAACCCGTGGAGCGCGCGGGATAGAGAGAGACGTCTGAATTCCTAACGTTATCCGGCGACGTCACCTACTTTTGCGAATGTGGTAGGTGCTTTCTGATTGGCTATTACCTTTCGGAAATAGAACACCTTTAATTATTGGCTGAACGCGTTAAGGAAAACATCCGGTTGGAAATAGTGTTGACAGGCTAAACGACGACCGGAGCGCGATAGGAACTTACCCCACTAACTATCTTGACACTCTAATGACCCCCCCAAAGGAAGCACCTCAAAATTTTCTCCCCCCCCCGAAAGGATAAATAATGAACACTCCCTTAAAGTAACATGGATTAGATGAGGGGTGGGGTTTTTTCGCTGAAGACACAGGGTTTTTTTCATAACGTTCGTTTACTCATAAAAAGTGTCATTTCGATGCGACACACCTTTGTCATCAACTAAACAATGAGTTCAACCCGCGCATGCGATCACATACGAGGTCATGGTCACACAACCATTATAAAATGTCCTTGCTCAATCAGGAATGTCTCGCATTCTGCAGACTTCACTCAAACACCTCCTTGAGCAGCAACAGAAGACAAATGTACATTGAATTTCTCTCAGACTCTGTAAGTTCAACGAGCTTGGTTTCACTAGTTGCAGCGCTGTAGCAGCGCTTTCTTTCAGAGGGAACGCTGCCGTAAAGTACGGATTGCAGCAGATAAAGCAGTGTCCGGTCGGTGTACTTAGAAGACTGGTCACATCAGATGGAAGAAGAAGAGATGACAAATTTTCATCGGTAAAGGATCGAACTATAAAGGAAATTACAGCAGGGACAATTATTGAAAAGGCAGTTTGTTCACCATTAAATAACCAGGCAACAAGTGAATCAAGTAATGGAGGAATTTGCTCATTTGGGATTTAAGCTTATCATTTACAAACTGCAAAATGAAGTGTCGCCAAATCATTGCCATGCTTTACAGTTTATCATTTACGAGGTGGGATGTTAGAGGCCCTCACCTTGGAGAAAGAATTGGTTTGGTGTACTGTGATCTAGAATCTGATCACAGTTTAACTATCCTAAGAGTAGTTTTCAACTGAATATCAGAATTATTTTCATGTTTCTTAGATTAGGCATTTCATTTTCTTACACATTGTGCCACTTTTTCGACCCAGTAGGAGTAAAATCAAGACAATTTGAGACTTTACTAGCCACACCCAGGCTGGGGAACCATGCTCTGGTACTAAAACAAGGGTAGTTTACACCTGCTAGCACAAACTGTCGTAAAAGGTTAAAAAATTAATATGGCTTTGAACATCAAGTGTGAAACGTCTTACCAAATGAGTGGACTGCTCTAAAACACAATTCTGTCAAGGGTGGAACACTGCTGCAGTGGCTGTCCAGGATATACCTCAAATCTAGCACTTGTCCTAAATCTGTTGAAGAAAAAAAACAAAACAGATTGTTCGATTTATTGGCATCTGTCAGCAAATGGAACAAGAAGGATTTTAAATCTGAATCAGGCCTTTATACGCCTTTCTCTGCCTTTCAGATGCGATTGCTTGCAATATTTCCTTATCTTTACTACAAAATGGCCATTCCCTAAAAATAACAAGATACACTGGGTTATGAAAACTTGCTTCATAACAAGCAGTGACAGATCAAGGGGAGAGACCGCCCCCCGCTCCCCCCTTATTTTTAGACCAAACTGAGCAAGAGATCCTTTTTAGGATGATTTGACAAAAATGATACAGAAAAATCTTCTTTCCAAATATTCCCAACACCCCAGCCACTCTAGCTATTTTCAGTGAGGAAGCATTTATACAAGTTAAAGTAAAATTCACTGAAGATTTGGAAACAAATACAAAAAAATATATAACTGAATGAAAGAGGAATGTGATCATCATCAAGAAATTATAATCATTGCAAATTGTTGAGCTCACCTGAACAATGTTCTTCTTTTGAGCTGGACAGACTGCCAACAGCAACACTGAGTTAGTAAAAAGTATTATTATTTATTCAAAATATTTCCCCAATTCTGATTGGCTAAAAGCACAAGCATAATTCACCATAACCGGTTACTGATAACTAAATTTGGAAGAATTTTGTGTTTAACAAGGAAATGATGTCAAAAATGCAGCCCTCTACAGGTTAAGGCACCATTACCGAGAAGACCTGGGGACGGGGTTGAGTTGTTTTGGCCCAAAAAAAATGGCGGACATTTCACTTGTTTCAAGAGTAAGAACTACAGCCTGAACTAGGCGAAATAATTGCTAAAAACATGCCAATTACAGCAAGAAGACAACTCGGACATCTGCTATTTGGAGAATATTTGCAGAGCTGGACAAACCTAAACCTACAGTATCGAAGATGAACTTAACATCGATGCAGGTAAGTATATATCAGCTACGTTTTTACACTAGGAATTATTTTGAATGAATAAGAAAGCAATTAATGAATTTGGCTTTCGCAGGATATGAAGAATTGAGCAGATCTTGGAGGGTTTTATCCACCTCGGCCTTCGGCCTCAGTAGATAACACCCTCCTCGATCTGCTTAATTCTTCATATCCTACTCAGCCTCATTGATTAACCGCTAAATAAGCTTGTATGCTTGGGATGGTTACACCTGTAGGTTCAATGATTTTTAAACAGGTCTGTTATTTAACTTTCAATCCCAATCAACTTCTGATCAACAGTTTGAAAAAGAGGACCTCCCATCCTATCCAGGACTGTTCTTTGCAACTGACTACTTTATTAGGAAGAAAGGCACTTTATAACCTGTACATGTATGTCCTCATTACAAAATGTCAGTTTCTCTCTTTGACCTTCTCTTTTCAGTTAATTTCTTTTCTTTTGGACTCTAACCCTATTCCACCAAGCATAAATATTAATGCTATAAACATTTTATTTGTTGACCTGTCAATGTGTGTAAAGGACACCATATCTGACCTGTACCGGTATACTAGAATCAGAGTAACACTATTTTAGAAAATATAATTTCTATAAATCTTGGGCATAAAAGTGAGTTTCTTTTCTTAGGACCTGCCATGACACCTGAAATACTCAGTAAGGAAATGAAGCGAAAATGGGGAATCAAGTCCCAAAAGATGTTGAGACAGTGTTTCGTTAGCGCAACCTAACTATTATACAGTAGTAAACTTTCTCTTAGCCAACAACTCTCTAAAACATACAACAAGCCATTGACCCCTGCCCTTCTTTAGTCATTTTCTTGGTCTCTCTATAAGATGCATGGACACCAAGACTGAGAGTGACCTGACTAAGAAATGTATAGTGATGCATACCAACTTAAGCCAATAATTTTCAAATTCTCCATTTTGAGAAGAGTGGCAGGCAGTAGGTGAAGATCCATGTTGTTGTCTAGTATTAAAGACTCAAGCGAGGAAAGCTGATTCACATCTATAAAAAAAAAGAAGCAGAAGCACTAATATTTAGGGCTGGTTCTTCAGCTATTGTTTACTAATGACAGACAAAAGATAATAGACACAAAAGTCAAGATAATGTAAACACAATGAATCTACTGTGAAAACTGTCAAATGAATATTCATTGAATTAAGATTCTTCTTTACAAGAAACATTTGAGTTTTGCTCAAGCTCATTTGCAGAACACAAAACTTTACCATAATCAACCAGGTAAAACATAAAATCAAACAAATTTGCTTCTGGAACCCCATGTGACTACCCAATTAAGTATAAAGTTTTGCATCATTGGAATTTCTTTCACTAAGGCACAGATGTCTCTAAGAGTGAGGAGCAAGGAGTGATGGCTGTTTTTGCAGACTACAAAGTTAAAAAAAAGATGTGTAAATTCATCCCAGCTTGAGTGTGTGGATCAAAATAAAAAATCCTTAATCCTTAAGAGCCCTTTAATTGTGTTACCTTGAGGTAAAGAACTGAGTTTATTTCCACTTGCATAAAGATCAGTTAGTCCTTGATGCCTCATTAACTGACGTGGAATCTTGCGAATGGCATTTCCATCAAATGATAAACTGTTAAGGGATGCACAGTTGCATAATTGCCATGGTAACCATTCAAGCTTGTTATTAATGACATTGAGATCCTTTAGTTGTGTTAGATTCCCTAATTCTGAGGACAGAGGTAATTTATAAATGAATTAATATTTTATAGGTCAGAATGTTAAATTATGTATGAGAAAATTTAACATTATAAATCCCCAAAACTCCTAGAATAGAAGGAGACCCTTAAACCACACTTAATAAACATCTAAGTTTTGTGTCTGCCTCAAAGAAGGTCAAAGAGGTTGACTGAAGAATAGTATGAAGCAACTCTCTATGCCCACTTTTTGGAGGTGTTCATCTAATAGATGTATCTGTTAAGAGAGAATTGACAGTAATCGCCCTATGGCTTAGGTACCTTTAGGTAAAAATGGCAATTCATTGTTGGCAAGTTGCAATGATGTAAGTGACGTCAGCTGACCAATGGCTGGAGTTAGGTTTTTCAAGAAGTTATTACAAACATTAAGTCTCTCCAGTGTCTGAAGTTTTCCAATTCCTAAAACATAGAAGGAACAATGCCTTCAGTGTTATACCAAAGTTTTATTGGAACTCATATTAAACTCTCCATGACCTTTAATTTCAGTCAATTATTAACAAAAAAAATATAGTATCCACAATAAATAATGTAATTTTACCATCTGGAAGTTCACGAAGGTTATTAGAATGCAAGTACCTATCAAAGAAAAGGTAAAAATGAGGAATGTCACCTTGTGGCACATACATACTTGTGGTATATAGAAGAGTAAAATCACCTAATGGTATAGCATGACTTATAGTATTATGAGAACAAGACATTTGGAGCCAAGACCATAGCAGAGATATTATCACCAAAAATAACTTAAATAAAACGTTCTCCTTCAGCTTGCTGTGGGATATTATAAAACATTTCCAAAGCCTCCCCCATCCCAAACTCCCACAACCCTAAAATTTTATCATGGATCAATCATGAACCACTAAGGTGCAATTTCCAAAAGTGCTGACAACAAAAATCTAGGGCATCAAAATCTGCTCCTACATAGGAGATACCGTGAATAGACAATGGCATGTTTCTACCCCTCGGTACTCCAGGGATCAATTTGATAAAACATTTATAACTGTTATAGAGACAAGTGCATAGATTGTTTTAACACTCTTAGGCAATCGCTGCACTTTTAAATTTCACTAACAACGTTAAGAGTTTAATGATTTGAATTCCGCATTTTCATCATCATCATCATCACTATCATCCTCCTCATCATCATCATCAGCAACAACAACATTATTATTGGGAGTTGTAGTGTTTGGTTCTTTGGTTCTTTTGTTTTACGTAATCTGTAGTCACGTAGCTGCAAAGAAACAAGAAGAACCATTTAATTCACTGTAGCTACTTACAGTTCTACTAGATTTCCAAGTCTCCAAATATCTGCTGGCTGATAAAAGTACAAAAACAAAGCTTTTAAGAACCTTGAAACATAAATTGAACGCATCTGTGCTAAAATGGCACCGCTTACCAGTTTTCGTAGCACATTTCGCTTCAGATATAGTTTCTTTATCTTTGACAAGGAGAGAAGTTCCTCAGGCAATTCACTAAGCTTGCGATAATTCAAGTAAAGCAAAGTATAACCTTGAGATTGAGCTTCTAAAATTTCTTCGTGTATAGAAGAAGACATCAAAAACAGCGGACACGAGAGCAAAATGACGAAAAACTACGAGGTTTGATGCTTGCAACATCCACCTCGGCCGCCATGTTGAAAGTGTACAGGGATATCTCGCGGGCTCAGGATTGGGCCGCTGAGCTGTTCAGTTCAGTCTGTATATTCAGCTTTTTCACTCTGAGTCCGTAAGCATGGTTAGTAACATTGATCGTAAAATATTGTTATTTGCCAGAAAGTCTTAAACATACTACAAAATACAGCTGAAAATAACTATGTAAAAAAAAAAACGAGTAAGCGAATGCCTCAGTCCTCGTCCAAGTATTTCTCATGAGATAGTCAGCGGTATCAGCCTTGAGTAAGGTAGGTACCTCATATATGATGTGGTCGAACCAATTTTCGCTTTTCGATGGCTGGAAATTTGTCCGAGGGTTTCGTCCTATTTTTATGACTCTTCTCATGTGCTATTCCTTTATTTCGTAATAATACATCTATGAGTATCTAGCCAATGTATTACGAAAGACAGGTTCCCTTTGGGTTCGCATATTTTACAGAAAAATAGTACAGTCTATTTTTCAAACACGTGCTGTCGGAGGTTCTACAGTTTTCACTTGTTGAACTGAAGCTCAGTCTATAGACTGATTACGTTATGAGGAATCTCGAGCTTTTGAGGAGCTTTCCTGTACTGGAGTTGGATGGATTAGAGTCGTCCTTCTGTTTGACAGTTGACTCAGAGTGTGGAGTTATCTATACAGCCACCAATTCAGGAGTTACTGGTTTCCAACCTTCCAACCAACAGGTATATTTAAAGCTTATAATGATTTCTGTGATTGTTTCTCTACACACACTTTTAGTTTGGAAATGGAAGGGAGGTACTAAGTAAACTCAGCAGGGGAGGTGATTGGGAATTTAAGACATACAGTTTGTATTTGCAGAGATGCCAACCTCTGGAAATCTCAAATCTGGAGACTTTCTCTTTTGCGTTACCCCCCTTCCCCCTGAATATCAATGAACAACCACCCCCCTCCCCTGACCCTGACCTCCTGATAAGCACAATTTGATCCAGTCCTTATTTATCATATGGGAATGGCTTAGGGCATTATATGAAGTCTCACATGAGGTACAGACCATCACAATTTGCTGTTATGATAATCTTTGTCAGTGACGAAATACATACAAAAATGCCCCAGAAACGGAACCATGAATCAAAGAAAATTCAAATTTTAGAGGAAAATGGGGTAAATTCCATATTAAAGCACAGAAAAGCTCATAACTTGATTTTATCCGGGAGATTTTGTGACCCATATGGGAGACCAGGAGATTGGTGTCATATCCAGGAGAGTTAGCATGTATGTATGTATATGTCTTGGTAAAACAGAAACCAGTTCAGCCAGAGGCAGAAGGGAGGGGACATCCATGTATTGTGATATATAGCAATCCTGAAAGTACTTTGTTCTTTATACAGAAGGTGAGCTCTGTTTCACTTGTGACTAATGGATACTTACCTGAAGATGGCACTGGAAGAGTAACAGGAATACAACATTTACCAGATTTGGAGTCTGTATGTGTAGCTACAAGCAAAGGCGATGTTATTCTCTGGAATACAGTCACTGAACAGGCAAGTTCTTAGGAAAATTAATTGCCATAGAATAATACTTTATCATAAGCAGCTCACTGAACCTCCAAAATCTTCTTATTTATGTTTTTAGAAGACCTCTCAGGCAATTCCAGACACATTTTGTGGGTGATAAATTGAAAGCATATCATCCTTTTGTCCTTTGCTCAGATCCAACAAGTAAACTTCTTACTATCTCTCTTTATGAAGAGTTACAGATGTAGCTGGGTGGTTTTATTTGAACCAATCAGAAACAGAGAGCCATTATTTTTGAATGAATAACAAGTAATTGCACCAGATGTTGTAGTTTGAGTCTGACTTGTCT